GGCGGGAGGGTTTTCAACTGTGTTGACTAAGATAATTTGGCACTTCTCAAAAGGGAATTTGCTACAAAGGGCGAAGTACCTCCCTGCGCACAAAGAGCCCCTTTCAGAGCGGAAGGATGCTTCAGTGAACGTTTTGTACCCACAAATCCGACCTCCGCCAAGGACAAAGCCAGGGACAAGAACGCTTAATTGCTGAAGAAATGAAAAGGTAAAAAGCACATCCTCAGGCAGAATGACTCTGCTACTGACACAGGCCGCAGTGGCGGCGGGGATGCGGCTGTGCAGAGCCGCTCGGAGCGCGGCCGGGCTCTGCCGGGCAGGGCGCACACGGGGACACGGCTGGGCACCCGGGGCAGAGCAAACCGAGATGCTCTTCTCGGCCACAGCCCCCGAGGAGTGAACACGGAGCAAGAGCTGGGCGGGAGGCACAGGGCAGGCCCTGCACAGCTCTGTGCCTGTGCAGCCCACCACCCCAGTGTCTCCCCAAACCAATGTGTCTAGGCTACATTAGGGCTCCCAAATGACAGGGCTACCCTGACTTACAGCCTCCTGACAAGCTCCACGCGAGGCTAGCTGAGATTTCTTTCCCTTTAACACTTTTTAAATCTAGTACAGCCACACCACATCACCCTGGAGCTCCTTCACCCTCTGTCTGCTGGTATCTCTGGCCAGGCATCACATCACTGCTACACAATTAATTTTTAAATGATTTTTAATCAGGTGTAGACCTTCAGTTTTACAAGTAGCTTCCCATCGCTTTCCTCACGGCCTGGTTTAACCAGTAAATAATGTATAGTGCTGTTACTTGTTTCCTTATTTCTCAGGGGCCAGGAGCCAGTCATATCAGGTGCTGCACAAACCCACTGATTTGCAGCCAGCTCAGCCTTTATGCTGTGCTTGATATTTCTTTTGTTGCCTTCCTTTATCTCTTATCGCAGGTGCCAGATTTGCTTTGCTTACGGCCTCAGACCAGGGGAAATCCAACAGCAAGTTCCAGCCCGGATCTGCCCCCTGTCCCAGCCCTGCAGTAACGTTTGGGGAGTTTGCTGACGTTGCTCTTGGGCTCTGCTCTCAAGAGTGGGTCCCTCCTGCAAAAGAGCACCCACCAAGCCCACCAGGCTGGACTGGGGGGCCTGCACCCTCCATAAAACACTGCTGGCTCGCTCTGCCTCACCCCCCCGGCTGCTCCAGCACGCCCATCACCATTGCTGGCATGGTGCACAGCTATTGAAACACTATTGAAATTCTTTATTGAAACTCTTGTGTCAGTTCACACAGATTTAATCACTACCATTTGTAGCATGTCAGTACAGTGGCTGTTTTCTGTTTACCAGAAGAGCACTGTAACTGACTGGAATCAGCTGGAAAGAATCCAAACATCTATTAACAATGTTCAGAGCCAATATTTTGAAATCCAGTGAGTTTATCAGAACATATTTTTCATTTATGCCTCTTGACTTCATAAATAAACAGACCATTAAGCGATGTGATGAGCTGCACCATGTCTCCACAAGGGACACAAGCTTTTCCAAATATTAAGTTATCCAAATCTGAAGAGCCACTTAATGGTCAGTGCTCCATCCTGCCACATTTCTGCACACATCCAACCTGCAAAAGTGCTTCTTAAACCCCAACTGTACACCCCTCTGCTGTTTGTGAGCCCGCCTGCCTTCCCAACAAACCTCCAAAGGAGCAGGTATCTTCTTTTGTCAGATTCAAGTCACAGTTTGGAAAGAAAACTGCCTTTCCACTTTTCCATCCTGCCTTTTCAACTTCTAGTCAAATAGACTGAAGAAACAGCAAAATATTCTCACTACATCTGTTGTTTATGCTGAGCACAGTATAATTTGGGCAAAGCTTTGCTGACCTGTGTCATTGCTAAGACAATGTAAATGCAGGTACTTGCTCCTTTGGCAATGGCTGGAAATACTGGATCCTGACTGAGGTACAGGACTTCAGACACACTCAGAAGGCTAAGACCCAAAAATAAAGCATGTGCTCCCCACATCCTTCCTACAATAATAAGAACACTTTATATCTCAAAAAAATTACTGAAAAACTTATTTGTTTGATTTTTCTAAATTATTTTAGTATAGAAGTGCAACTCTAAGACTCAGCAGAAATTACATTAAAGCCCATTCAGTTCTAAACCAAGGAAAAATGTTTGCTTTAAACAAAGTTATTAAATTTTAAAAAGTCCAAGTTATGTAATTGCTTAATGGTTTTGATTGTCTATCTTCTCTGCTCTGTCATTTCTATTTTTCTCCTCACAGCCCCCTTCATTCTACCCACATCTGTAGGGCATTACCCATAGTGTAACCAATACTCCAGCTGTGGCTGCCCTGCTGCCATAGAGACAGGACAGATCCGTGCTGCAACAGGAACCATCTGTATGTATGACCCAAAATCACTCTGGATTTTTTTAACCACCATGCTGCTGTGCTTGTGCTCTCTGCTTTAGTTCCAACAGCTGGGCATGTCCCCTGCATGCCCTACAATAATAAGAACACTTTATATCTCAAAAAAATTACTGAAAAACTTATTTGTTTGATTTTTCTAAATTATTTTAGTATAGAAGTGCAACTCTAAGACTCAGCAGAAATTACATTAAAGCCCATTCAGTTCTAAACCAAGGAAAAATGTTTGCTTTAAACAAAGTTATTAAATTTTAAAAAGTCCAAGTTATGTAATTGCTTAATGGTTTTGATTGTCTATCTTCTCTGCTCTGTCATTTCTATTTTTCTCCTCACAGCCCCCTTCATTCTACCCACATCTGTAGGGCATTACCCATAGTGTAACCAATACTCCAGCTGTGGCTGCCCTGCTGCCATAGAGACAGGACAGATCCGTGCTGCAACAGGAACCATCTGTATGTATGACCCAAAATCACTCTGGATTTTTTTAACCACCATGCTGCTGTGCTTGTGCTCTCTGCTTTAGTTCCAACAGCTGGGCATGACTACTCTCAACTGTCCCCTGCACGTACCAGAAACAGAGGATTTCATCCCAAAACACAGGCAGGAGACAGCCGCCAACACCTACTGCTTCCTCCCTGCCACGGGAACTGTGCCCCAGCACTCGGAGGGATGCAGGGTGCACCAACAGACTGCCAGAGAAATCCATTCTTCAACTTCCTCCTTGCTCCTAACCTCCACCCTCAAACCTGTGCCTATGCCCCTCCCGCATGTTTGTATTTCTGCAAGCAGCAAAGGTCCGGGGACAGAGGCCGCGCTGTGCGAGTGCCGTGTGTGATCTTTGGCTGGCCGCACAACCTCCCCTTTCACAGCCATCGCAGCCCGCGGCCCGCAGCGCTCACACGCTCTCCCGTCTGCTTCAGATGTCACACAGAAAGGAGCCTGAGACTTCGCTGCAGGGTCCCGTGGTGAGGGCATGCACAGCTTCCTAGCAGACAGCTTGTCCCTATCCTTGGTCCCTGCCACAGGCCTGCAACACCTTCCTGGATTTCGAGTGTAAATCCTCACTCCTGCAGCTGGAGTCTGAGGTCACTCCGCCTGACATTGGTCTGGCAAGTGAAGCAGCATCTGCTTCTACAGCTGAAGTTTCAGTAGCAAAGGACAGCACAACAAGGTATTACCAGCAGTACAGCACATCACCCCCAGCAGTTCTCTCTGCATCTGCTCCGTCCACACTCAAAACCATCACCAGGCTTGACCAGCGGTACATGGCAGGATGCAGCCTGTGCCCTCTCTTGCCCCTTGGGCAAGCATTCATGTGGCAGATTCCCTCCTCACGCTGGTGCCCTGGACTTCATGCTGGAATGGAGTTTAGCGCATCCAACAGGAGCTGCCAGCATGACTCCTCCACAGATCAGACCGCCTTTTGGCATTAACTTGCAACACGGTATATTCCCATCACTTTGCACCTCCTCTCCCGGTCTGACTGACACTGGAGACCAAATCTGCTGCTTTCCGTACTGCTGCGTATCGCCAGCGAGGACTGAGCTGCTCCTACCGTGCTGCTCAAAATCCTCCTATCATCGCTTTTCTCAATCATTCTTTTCACCTCCTTTTAGCAGCAGCATTCTCTCAAAGAGTACTTTTTAAACACAGCTCTACTGCCTGACTTAGTTTTCCTCCAGAGAACAATTTCAGGATGGAAAACAGCTTCGTTTAACCATCCCATAGTCTTCCTTACTACCCGCTCTCCCGGTGGTTTCTTTTCCATTCCATGCCTGTCATTCCCGTCAGGTCCCACCAGTCGGTTCCCAGTCTGAGCAGTCCCTCACTGCCCGCCGAAGCTTCCCCTTCCACAATCCGCGCTCGGCGGCCAGCGCGGGCCGGGCTCCGGCGCTCAGAGGAGCGAGAGGCGCAGCCCCGGGACATTCCCTGCTCCCGGCCGAGGGGCTCCCGGGGCCGCCTGTCCCGGGGGACGCTGCGAGCGCAGGATGCCGGCATGAGGAGGGAGCATGGCCGCCCCGGAACCTGCCCCAGGAGGAGGAGAGACGGTGGCTGAAATCTATCGTGTCTTAGGTTTCTGGTAGAGAAGATCTGGCATTAGCAGGGCACCGGCTGCTAGTTTGACTGCAGCCGGACCTCCCTCCCCACCTGGGATGCTCGCCGCCGGAGGCAGCGAATCTTCCCGGGCACTGGGTCACGGCACTCGGCCCCGAACTTAGGAAGCCTAAAGCATCCCCTTTCCTTCAGCCTCTGGCAGTGCGAAGACCTGAGGCTTCCCGAGAATCCCGCAGACCAGGAGTGGGCTCTGCCCCTCAGCAAGCGAGGAAACAGCCGATAAAGGGGAGGAGGGGGGGCCCTGCTTCTCCCCCGGAGCTCTGGGCGGCCGAGCCGCGGGACACGTGCTGGATGCTGCTCCCGTCCGAGATGCACCATTGCCTCCGAGCGAGGGAGCCCCAGTGACCGCCCAGGTGCCCGGCTGCCCCCTCAGCTTGCCCGGGCACGGGAGGGGGTGCAGAGGCTGAGGCAGAGCTCGCCCAAACACCGTCCCGGCTCTCCGTATTTCCCCAAAGATGATCGCCCTACCTCCGCCAGCTTGGAGCTTCTCTCCTTCGGGGTATTGCTGCGCTGTTTCCCCCTCACGGGTAGCCCTCTCACCGCAGCCAGGAAAGTTGTGAGGAAGACGAATCCGAGGATGAGCACGACTTTCCCTCTAATCAGAGGCATCTCTCCCTTCCTCTCTCCCCGCCTCGCACGTCCAGGGCAGGCGGTCTGGCAGCACGCCCGCCCTTAATGCTCCAAATCCTGTCCTCCGAGAGGAGCAGTAAAAACTTAAAAATATATGTATCTTATAAAAAAATATATATAAACCACCAGAGCCGGGGAGTGCGGTGTCCCGCGGGCAGGGGCCGGGCAGGGTCCGCCGGCCGGGCCACTCCGCTCCCTCTGATCGCTCTTGCAGTTTGCCGAGCACCTTCCGCTGTCGCGGCTCCCCCGGGTCGCCGGCCGGTACTGATGCTGAAGGATAACTCTGAAAAGCTTCACAAATGTGTGCGGGGAGGGAGGGAGGGAGAGAGCTTCGGTTCCCCACCCCACTTCCTAATCCTTTCGGCAATCCGATTTCTTTTCCTCCTCTTCTCCTCCCCTCTCCGAGTCACTCCCCGGTGCTGCCGCAGCTCTGCAGGCACCGGCGGGCGGACGGGAGGCCGCTCGGCGGGGAGAGGCTCCTGCTCGCTCGGAGCGCGCTGCAGCCCCTCCCGGCTGGGACCGCGGCTGCCTGCCCCGGGCACGGCCCCGCCGCGCCCCTGCCCCGCTCGGAGGCTGCCGGCACCGCCAGACCTCCCCCCGCTCCCTGCGGGCGCTGCCCCCTCCGGGGCGCCACCGCCCGCCCCGCTCCTCCCCTCCCGGCAGCTGCATGGCCGGGGCCGCCGCCCCTCCACCGGCGGTGCCCGCGGCGCTGCCGGCGGCCGCGGGCCCCGGCGGCTCCGGCCCGGCCGCAGCAGCGCGGAGGATGGAGGAGCCCGGCAGGGAGGGGCGGGAGCGGGGCCGCGGCCGGGCAGGGGGCTCAGAGCCTCCCGCCGCGCCCCCGGGGAAAAGAGCTTGCAAAAGCCGCCCCTTTTCCCCCTTCTCCGAGCGCCAGGGCTGGGGCCGCTCTGCGGGAAGGGGGGACGGGCCCCTCCGCTCCGGAGCCGGCCCGCGACAGGCAGAAACGGGGCTCTGTGCTCCCCGCTGAAAGCCCCGGCTGTTCCCGAATTGCTGGAGAAAATTTCTACCACTCAAAAGAAGTCTTTATTTCATGATCTGCTGTCTTCTGCACCGGCAGCATCTTATCCAGCCCTCAAAGCCTGTTGGAAACATGGAGTGGCTGTTTACTTGGGGTGTTAGAGAGTCTTTTCCAGCATTTCCACAGACGTTCATGAGCCTATGAAGGAAATTAGGGAAAGGACTATGAAAAAATCATTAAGAAAGGATACTGAAAGGAGGCTTTGCAGCCTACTGAGGAGAAGTGCCAGTGCACAGTCCCAGAAAGGGAGATAGACCTAGAAGGGAAAACCCAGCGTTTCTACAACAGCCTTAGCACAAAGCTGCAAATCACCTGGGCCCATTTGTGTACCCACAGCTAAAATCAGGACCTGCACCTCCTTTTCAAATACCGACATCTGGTTTATGCAGACTTAGGGCTGAAATGAATGGAAGGAAATGTTTAAAACAAGACACAAACTGCAAGACAGATGTGAGGTCAAGAATCCCATGTGAGATGGATCAAGAAGCCCTTTCAAACATCTCATTAGCAGCACAGCAGCTGAGAGCAGCCTGACACTGTTAACAGCACCCAAGGGTAGCAGCCTAGCTTTCAAGCACAGCAGCTTTTTGGGGCCAGCACCGAGCTAGAGCAGGCACTCATCGTGGGAGTGCTGCACATCAGGAGCAGCAGCTACGACTGCAGGCGTCTTTCCACAACAGAAGCGGCTTTTCTAGACTGCACATCAAAGCTCTGCTGTACGATGGACCAGAGACTGCCAAAAACCAGCTAAGCACCCATCTCTCATGCAAGGTTTCCTGGCTCTAGAGTACAAGGCTAGAGGGGAACAATGATCTGTCTGAGCTCTCAAACAGGCTGTGGTGTTACCCAGTCATTCCAGTATAAAACTTATGTCTTGAATTTTTTTGAGGTTTTTATTTTGGGGGTGGGTGGGAAAGAGACTGGGAAAGAAGAGAGAGTTCAGTCTCCTTAATAGGGAAAAGCCTCACTAAGAAAAAAGTGCCAAAATCATGATATAGTGGTTTTTTAAAGTCTTTATTATGCAGAACATAGAATATATTTGAATGAATTATTTCCCCAAGCATTTTTTTTTCTCCAGTGCTTTTTTTTTAACATGCATTGTTACCTTTTTAAAGCCAATGTACCATCCATTTATCTTTTTCCCTGCCCACAGAGCATCCATATTCATGTTAATCACAAGTGTAAAAAAAATTAGACATCTGGCATAAAATATTTTGGGGGGGGGGACCCATTTAAAAATTTTATCTAAAATGTCTTATCTACAAAAAAATCCAATATATATGTACATTATAGCAACACAGAGGCATAAGAATACAGTGCAATTTAAGACGAAGTGCTGTGACTTGGTAATTCTGCCCAGGGCTTGTGGAGATGTGGGCCACCATTGGCTTTGGGGCTGCTAGCCTAAAGCCTCAGGCTCCAGCATTCCTCAGTTCTCGCCCAAGTGGGTCTGAAGTTAATATTGGGAGGCTAGAGATGCATTAAGCTTAATAAACCATTAGGGGGTAGCAGAAATACTGTCTGAATAGGATGAGCTTTGGCAAAAAAAATAAAAAGAATGTTTGCAAAGGTCAGATGGCTTGGTGCATGTTTCACCTCACTGTGGGTATTTCTGGAACGGCACCAAGCCTTGGCATATTCACATGTTCACCTACCACTGAGGAAATGAATTTGCTAGCTGCCACTGGCTCTGGAGTCCCTGACTGGCTCAGTGAGTCTCCCACGTTCAGCAGCCCAGGAACAAGTTACTGATGGAAGTACACAGGAACTACATAAGCTGCACAGGAACGTCGGTGCAGAGAACTGCACTACTTTTGGCTCCCACCTACAGACATCTCCTTGAACAGCTGCTAGCCAGGATCACACACAATTTGAGTTTTGAACCTCTCCCTCCTGAGAAAACAGCAGCACACACTGCTTAACTAAGAGCACCAAGTATTCTTCTGTGGGTTAAAATCCACTGCATTCCTCCAGGTCAGTCTTAATTTTAATTCTTCATACCAAGAATCACAGTTTAAGCCTTTCAACACACACCACAGCCATCATCTGCTTCACCCAGCCCCATTTGGGAATATAAGCACAACGGCTCCAATGTCTGCAACAAATGCTTCTCTTTTCAGTGAAAGGTAAAGCACAATACTTCACACAAACACTTTATGTTTGTGCTCTGGTATTATGTCTGAATCCTTGAACAGGTGAACAACTGCAAGGCTGGGAATGTTTACAGGAATACAAAGCCATTGGAATGGCATTGGAGATTTTTTTTTCTTTTAAAACCATGTCCAGGTTATGCAGGTCAAATGACTTGTGCTTTTCCCAAATAGTGGTCCAATGCCACTTGGTGTCAGGTCCAGCACCAAAGCCAACAATGCACCTGCAGAGGGGTCATACTAAGCATTCCTGAACAGCTCAGCACTTCACTGCTGCTAAAACAGAACAGACTGCAGGTGCCTCAAATCTCCATGCAGAAGGTGTCATCCACACAGATCCCAGCATGCTTGACCCTTTCATAGGCTGAATACAAACTGTAAAAATAATATATATAAACTGCATACATTCTGACTGAGCATTCGTTATTGGGATACATTTCCACAAGTTTCCTTCTCTGTGATGCAGCAAGGGGGCTCATGCATAGTGCTCCAGATCCAGTGCTGCAAGGTGTTCTCTTAGATGAAATGAAGAGTCATGCTCATGCTTCCTTCCAACCTCTCTTATGATCTCCCTGAATGGAAAACACGGCTTCTGAACAAGCAAACAGCTGTAGGCCAAATGCTTTTAGAAGAAAACAAATCAAAATTTGCACAGAAGAAGTACTTACTTGGCGTGGAAAAGTTTTAGTGTCCATTCAGGCACTGAAAACTGCACTCCTGATTTAGAGATACTTGTTCAAGTACACATAGAAGATCCCTGTACACCTGAAAATAAGCAGGATTGACTACCCCTTTTCTCCATCTCTGCAGTATCAGTCCTTCATCCACACAGCACAGAACTGCTGATTTAATGGGCACACTTCCCTTGCCTGTTCTTTGTGAAGGTGCAGCTCTGATAGCGAGTATCACATCTGCACTCTTAGAGGAAACAGCAAGAGGAGGATGGATAATGCAATTCCTTCAGATGTTTGCTCAACTCGCTCCTGAGTCTTTGCCTGAAGCAGAAGCACACTACACCCATAACTCAAGAACCAGAACTGTTCATTAAGGATGCTACTTAAAAGGGAAAAGATAGAGCAACTAGAGAGTTAAATAAACCATAAACATACTATACAAAAGTTTGTGTCGTGTAAAAAACAAAAATGAAGGCCCTGAATATTCTGACACAAAAAAATTGGTTTCTTCTCTGCCAAAGAACTAAAGGAGAACTATTAATCAGGGTCCTTAAGACAAAGATCTATTTGGGAAAGCCAGTTTCTAACAAGAAGCAGATCTCCCACTCTTTGCTGATGCTCGGTAATAGGAGCTTCTCAACTTTCCTATGAGTGAAAGAATATTAGCCTTAAAAACAGTTATGGCTCTAAACTCTTCACTCTGCTCAACAGAGGCAAAAACTTGCTTGCTTAGTTCTCCAGAGAGGTACTGGGAAGGTAACTATTGTATATTTATGAGTCAGTTTAGCCAATATACAGTACTGAGCAAAATCCTTTGTTCAAAAGCAGCCTTCATTTTCTTTTCAATTTTGCATCTCTTAAGAAATACCAGGAGTCATTTTCAATTAGAATGTCTCTGAAAAGTTGGCAGGGACTGAAGTTTTATTTCTTAAGCAGCTTTTCTTCCTTTGTGATCTCTCAAGATTTGTTCTTTCATTCATTCCTACTGCCAGGAGAAAAAGGAGACAGATTTCTGGTCAGTACATAAATATCAAAGCAGCAATCCATCCTACACTGTGACAGCATACATGCTGTAGGTTTGCCTAGCACAAACTCTTATTGGAGTTGTTTTAGTAGATGCAAAAAGGTTTTCTTGGCTTTCAAGCTCAGCAAATTACTGAATTAAAAGTGTGAAATCTTGGACTTGTAACTCTTACTTTTTCAGAAGCAGTTTCAACAGGTTTCATAATTTTTACCAAACTTTGGCAAAACAGCTTCTCTTGAACAAAAGGCCTCAGAGAGGAGTGGGGGGATTTGCTTTCCAAAAAGGATATGGCAAGGCTGAAATGTAACCAAGTACTTTGCAAATGCTAACTGCCAGAATTATTTCTGAAGTGCCTTTGCAACTCAAAATTCAAAGTTATATGCAGACAGCGTGACACAGCAGACACATACTGAAAGGCAGAAGCTTGAACACAATTTCCTCAACAAATGCAACTAGAAACCAAATGGACACTAGTAATTTTTGAACACTATTTCAGAAGTATTACAGAGGATTTATCTATATTATGAAGATTTTTCCAGATGCTTTTCTCCCTTCCAAAGCTGCTCTAAAACTGATTCCCAGAGACAAGGTTAAGATTCAACACTTGTAGAATCTATGATAAACCACTTTTAACTAAATACATCACAGTTTCCAAACTGAGTCAGGTAGACAGCAGATAAACACACTGTGCATTTGTGAATGCTTAAAAACAGCTACCTACTGATCCAAGCCTTTAAAGTGATCCATTTTGTCTGCTCTTAAACCATTTCATGATCAAGTTAATAGGATCAGGGCTGATGTCAGGGCTTCCTGTAC